ACTTACGAGGAGCTCGGAGTAGAGCTGTTGCTCCTCCATGTGAAAAGGAGGAGCTGAGGGGAGGGCATCTGTTCCTGATGACTCCTGGAAGCCTCCCTGGAGGTGCTCATGTCCCACCAACATGCATTAAGTAAAGCCCTACCTCCCACGGGCAGAGTTTGATAAAGTTATCCATGCTTTTGTAACATCACACCTCCCTGCAACGCTTACAACACGTCCACAACGCTGCAGCTCGTCTGGTCACAAATACTAAGAAACGTGAACACATCACACCTGTTCTGTGCGACCTGCACAGGCTCCCTGTCTTATATCAGGAGCAATTTAAAATGTTATTAATTGTTTTCAAATATTTGCTCTCTATGGGTCCAGTCTACTTGCAGGAGTTACTGCAGCCCTGTCCTCCGCCCAGAGCCCTGACATCAGCTGACCAGCTCCTGTTGGTTGAGCCCAAAACTCGGCTCAAGACAAGAGGTGACAGAGGCTTTTTCTGTGGCAGCGCCCAGACTGTGGAACAGTCTTCCTCTTCCTGTCAGATCCTCTCAGTCTGTAACTCAGTTTAAGACGAGACTGAAAACTCACATCTTCGCCCTGGTGTTTAGTATGAGCTAGTCAGGTTACCTTGGTGTTTTTATTGTAGTTTATCCATGTTTTCTGTATATATGTATTTTTAACTGTTTCTTCTATTTTGTTGACTTGTATGTGAAGCACTTTGGTCAGCTGAAGTTGTTTTAAATGTGCTAGAAATAACCTTGAATTGAATTGAATGCATTAAATAGTTTTGTCTTCTAGCAGCATACTTCTAACCAAGAGCCTATAGATCTGTGGAAGAATCTCCAGGTTCTGCATTTTTTCCCTCTGAATTGACAATAAAAATATATGAAATAAATCCTAAATATTTCTCGGCCTCAGATCTTGTCATGTCGGTAATATTAAATGAGTCCAGCAGTGTCAAACCTCCTCCTCTGGCATGTATGGGCCTCCGTGTTATCCTAGCCTCTGGACTAACTACTGTGAGTCCATTACACGTGCTAATGAGCTGCTGACCACACACTCTGTCACTCTGAACATGGGCAGGTGTCATGTGACTGTCATGTGACCCGGGACTTCCTGATCAATGCAAAAGAATGACCCCGGATCAGTTTACCTTATAAGGCTTTAATAGGAAGTGTCCATATAGAGCTGCCATAAAACAACTCGACAAGTGAAGTTACAAAAAGATAATAATACAACATTGAAGTTGTTTTGTATAGAATCATCGTCCATTATGTGTTCATATTAGAATTATTACAATATTTGATTAACTCCATACCACAGAGTGTCACTGAACTGAATCATAGTCAAAGTGATGTCAAAACCATAATAATAAAACATTTTATTTTTTGCAACATTTAGTCTAGTTTCCGTATATACACTTGAAAAACTGGTGATAAAAGTTTCAATAGTTTTTCTGAACTGAAGTCACTGTAACTTCTGTAGAATTTCAGTTTTACATGGAAGAGCATGTACGTTCAGTCCTAATACACAGTCTTCTCTGTTTAGATGGAAAACTCCCTCACAAGCTCCATTTGGTCAGAAGAAATGAACAGTTTTAAAATGATGAAGACCAAAAACAAACAACCAAAGGGAAAAAAAAAAAAAAGACAACAAACATTATCTTCAATAATAAATAATGCAATAAGACATAACAATACAATTAAATGTTGTAATTTGTGATTAAACCAATCTGAAAATCTAATGGTAAATGGTAGGGATGTAACAAACCGATTTGTGAAAATTCTGATATTGTTTCGTCAAAAGCCTCGGTAATATCATGGGCCGTCACAATATATCAAACGTTTCTTTGCTTATATTAATTGTTATGGTGCAGCAACAGCTTAAAAACAGACAGAACTACATAGACCATGAGCCTTTGCTCTGTTTTAGTCCAATCTACATGATTAAAGAACTACTATTAAGCACTTTTAAATCTCACTTATTTGGATTATGACAGAAAAGTAGCAGTAGGTTTGTTAGTTTCCACAAAATATCTCAGTAAATATCGTACCATGAGATACATATCGTGAAAATACTGTACTGAGAGATGTAGATATCTTTACATTCCTAGTAAAGACATCTGTCTGGATCCAGGACATGGAGGGTGGAGCCTCTGACTCCCAGACCCCGCCGAGGGGCTGCGTGCCAAGGTGAGTGCTCCCTTGTGTTTAGCGCTGTTGCCCAAACTCAGTGCTTCTGCTCCAGGCTGATGTGGTGAGTTTGTACAAAGTTCTACATGCTGTTGTTTTATGAGTTCATGGTGAGAACTTGAAGTGAGGCCCACGGTGGGAACATGGGAACATAGATTCCTTTCGCAGTTGGAGGAACATTGGGAACATTGGTCTGACCCTGTCCAAGTCTGTATGGGATGGCGTCTGGACTCTATCTATATAAATATTTTAAACAAAATTTTAGCCCCCTCAAAATTTTCCTTTTAAAGGTTTTTAGGGGGTGTGATGGGTTAATCAGTGGTGTCGGACCCCCGCACCTCCTCTATTTCACACACTGTTATCATTATAGCAAAAAGTAAACATTGTTTGCACTTTCAGCGCGTCAGCTCCTAAAACTCCTTTTATCTCACTTTACACACAAACGTGAAACCGGAGTTTTTCAGAATCTCCAGTTTTTAGAAAGATTCGTTTTCAGAGGCGAATTCGATGTTTGCGTGTAAAAGATGGGTACAAACAAAGGGAAATGTATCCGTTTAAAAAAAACAAAAAAAAAACTGTATGTGTAAGCGGGGCCTAAATGAGCGGGATCCGAACTGCCAACCGTTAGATCAGTGGACAAATGCTCCACCAACTGACCTACTCTTGCCCACATCTACACACCGTAATACAGCCAGGTAATCCTTTCATACATTATGACCATTAAAACTTCACTTCAGATGTAAGTTATGTTAAAGTGAAGTAGTGTAGTGTTGTCTTCCTGAATACAAATACTGTAATATAATAATGGAGAAGTGTGACTGACAGTGTTTTATGTGTGCATTATAAAGTGATTAAGAGTCTTTAAACACTTCATTTACCTCTGTGTGACTGGGCCGAGCGTGTGCCTGTAATCCATCATAATCACATGTGTATGAATACTGAGCAGGTGTGTGCACAAAGACACTACACAATACACAACCCTCTGACAGGTCACACAGTCCGGGGGGAGGGAGGGTCCTGTTCACACACTGTATTTTTAAACTTCACACACCTTCTTCACACACCTTCACTAGAATCATCTGGATGATTTCAGCCCTGCAGTCGTCAGTCTCTGAACTGTTCACTTGAAAACTACTGTTTCATGACATCACAAGGTGGAACAGAGCGTTTTTTGCTTTGGTGATGAAGACAAACTAATAACAAAAAGTAACTCAAATAATTCAAACATATGTGAATGAAACAAAACACAAGTCCAGGTTTGTTTTTCAGGTACCAACATTCTTGTGGGACTTTTAAAGTAGCACCTTCACACGCCAAACGTACTTAACATCTTGACAAATACAGAAGGGTTTGTTGATATATAATTCTAAAGTAAAATCTTCATTCTCGTACCAGCAATGACTCATATTAAGAAAAGGACTTGTTTTAACATCTGTTTTTTTTTTTTTTTTGTCAATAGGAGGGTTTCAGTCATGTGATCACGATGATTTCAGGTGGAGGGCAGGAAGTGAAGACAAACACGACAAACACGGCTCTGGAGAACACAGATATGGAGAAGAGTTCTTATTGTAAGGATTTAGAGCCAGTAGCAAGGCAAAAGTGCGAGCAGTTAGTCGACAAATATATTGGATGTGACCCTATCTGATGAAAATGAGGGAATTTTTGACCAAAGTAAAAGATTTGCCAACAATCGAAGCAGAGGAGATCACAAACTATTTAGCTCTTCAGACATCGTTTTACACCAGACAACAGATGAAGGTGTACAAAAGTTTGGAGGCATAGAACTTTTTTTGTCAGTGGATGGGTCCTCAACCTTGGTGCAAAACACCTACGTGATGATTATGGTTTGGTCTTCCAGGGTGGGTGTTTCTCTTATTTTATGTGTATGGACTGTTATGGAAAAAACTGCAGTGTATCTACAGTGACCTATCTATCCAAACTACTTAATGTCAACAAACGTCGTTAGTCGTTAGGCGTTAATGATTCGTTTATGTTTAGGTAAACCATAAAAAAACAATTTATCTTTGTAAAATACCTTTGAGTGGTCACCGCGGACACGAGCATTTCCTCCCGACTGCAAACGTAGATTTGTAATCCACTTTTTATGGTGTTTTTCTGTCAGCTTTTCCCATTTCTGACCTTTGTGGACAACGGTATTCGGTACTCTAAAAAATTGCTTTTCCTTCTCTCGGTTAGAACGATTGGCACAGCCGTAAACTACATAACACATACACATTTTGCAGACAAAGACACAGCAGCTTCCTCGAATCTGTTCACTTCCTGCCTCCATCTAATTTCTCGCGCTGACAAACGTGGCCCTGTGACGTCACGTGAAATCCAGCTATTGTCTCCTATTTTAAAGATGATGTTTGATAATTTTTCAAGTGAAATTATTTGCCAGTGGAATATTTTTTTTTTTAGAAATGTAGATAAAAATGTATAAATACATTGGAAAAATTGGAAATACATATTGTCATTTATCTTTTAATTCATTTTATAAATATATTTTTAAATGACCTTTTTGGATGCAGAGCTGTTTCTCAGTTCTGTCTCAAAACAAAGTAAATTACTCAAATCCAAAAACAAAATAATAAAAAAGTAAATAATAAAATCAAACAAAATAATCAAATATAACCAAAATGAAGTGGCGGCTTTGGACTTTCTTCTCCCTTGTTTTTCTGTGCAGCTTCCATTGCACAGACGTTCAGTTTCAGATCATGTTCTTGTCATGTTCTTGCTGTGTTCTTTTTTTGCATTTGCACTGAAGTGTGTCCAAAGATGTGTCCCTGGATCACGAGGCCCGGACGGGGGTCAGGGTCAGACGCTCGTCCCCTGGTGGTGGACAGTATGTCTGCGCTGCTTCAGTCCTCTGTCTTTAAAGTCCATGCTCCTCTGAAGAGACGTGTCCACCAGAGCACTGACCAGAGCCAGACCTGTGGACACACGGGACACACAGTTATACTGAAGAACAGAGCCGTGATGAAGAGGAGGAGGAGGAGGAGACACTAATCCAGACTAAAACTGATATTAAACCTAGATACCCATTTGATACTCACACTGGTATCAAAAGTACACTCGTATCAGCAAGTACACATACAAATACAAACATCTCATCAATAAATACATATAAATGGGCCCGGTCAAGCAGAAGTAAACAGCAAGGCCAAAAATTCAAGTGAATGCATCTGATATAAAAATGTATTGAACAGATACATATGTACTCTAATTTATGAAACTGTTGACCTTTTTTCTGTACCATTTTTGGTTCTAAAGTTCCATATGTTTTAAACAGACCATGTATGAAACATGGAACAAAAATTATTTCCCAAATTTCAAAGACCTGCAAATCATGTCAATAAATGGATGTATTTCATCATATCTTGTGTTATTCCATCTTTGAACTGTTGATGAAGGTACATGATTTAAAAAAATAAATAAAAAAGTATTTAAAATGATCAAATTTGCTTGGAAGGACTGACATATTTTATCGAAATAGTTTCTTTTCATTTTGAAGTAATATTAAAGTATTCAGAAGAAAAAGGCGACAAATTATATAAAATCCTGCACCTTCTACTTGTTTGCACAATTTTCCCTCCATTACTTTTCCCTCCGTTACCATGACCTTTCTTCATAAAAAATCTCATGACTTAAAAAGTAAGAGGTTTTTCAACCTAATCTTGTACCATATGGTAGAAAACTATATGAAGCAAATATTCAAACCAGTTTGTTAAGGATATGGAAGTGAGAACCAAGAGTTATCACTGTTTGGATTTATTGCCCAAAAAGTGCTGCATATTTCATTCCCTCCGTTACCGACATGAGTTTTTAAAGTTTTTGTTAAGAACTTGAAAGAATCTCACTGGTTTAACTTGACCCTGTTGGAGTGTAACTCTTTCCTACATTCTGATACTTTACTTATTTCAATAGTCCCTCTAGTTTCTGAATAAGAGACATTTGAATGTAAAAAATCTGCCCCTGTTTCCCTCCGTTACCATTTGACCCAAATACAAATCACAAAATAGATAAATAAATACCACATAAACTCACACAAAAACAACATACAGATATCAAAAAGAAGTGACAGAAAGAGAGCAAAATGAGAGATTTAGTCTTTTTTCCAGAGCCAGTATCAGAGCACACAGGAACATAGAGAACATACTGAGAGAAACGTTGTGATGTAGAAAAAGAGTCTTCTATTCAAAAATCTGCACTTTTAAAATGATCATTGTGGTATTGAGTTCAGTATCGAGCCTTGTCTTTAGTACTGAACAGTATTTTGTGGTGAAGTCAGCTGGAGCACATGAACGATCAGAAGTGAGGTGCAGGTGTTTGGACTCCAGTGCAAAGTCACACTGATGTTTGTAAAGTTTGAATAGATTGTCGTATTTCAGCTGTGACAAAGTGGGGCCTTTGTCTCATTTTAAATTCACGTTTTTTTGGGGGTTTTTTTTGGAAAGGGGACTTACTTTGCTTTTAGAGTTACCTGGATCCTCACCTGGGGGGAGGTACTTCCTGCTGGGAGGGGTATAAAAGCAAATCAGCAGTCACCAATTGGGGAGAGACTTCTGTGCAGATTGTCTGGTGTTTGTTGATTTGAATCACTAAGGCTACGTTCAGACTGCAGGGCTCAATGCTCAATTTGGATTTTTTTGTGAAATCCGATGTTTTTGCGAGGTCGTTCACATTTCCAATTAAATGTGACTTGTGTGTGATCTCCAGTATGAACATTAAATTGCCCAAAAGTGTCCCACATGTGCACTGGAGACACGATGACGTCAACCACAGCGAGCGTGCTCTGTGTTTATGGAAGTTGTCCAAACATGGACGCAGCATCGAGCACCTGGAGATTTTAAAGTTCCTCTCGTACCGGAGCCAGAACATGAACAACTTACTTGTTTTAAGGAGGAGATTGAGAAGAAGAAGGACGAGGTTTTTGGTCATGGTGTTTTGTGGGGCAGCGGCAGTAACGTCTGTAGAAAAGAACGTGTGGATGTGGAGACGGAGCCAAGAGTGGTGAGTGGTGATGTGCTTCACTTCAATGACACGGAGTTCATTAACAATTTTCGCCTACTTCAGCGCAGAATAGTGACATTTGTTTCTTGTTGATAACGTGTAAGTGGTTGAATGCACTTTGACCGTTCACACTGAAGTCACATGTCAAAAGATCAGATATGTGTCGGTTTCAGGAGCACATATCCAAGTGTCCTGGGTCACATTTGAAAAAATCGGATCTTTGTGGTTCAGACTGTCATTAAAAGATCAGATACAGGTCACATAGAAGCCAAAAAATCAGATTTGGGTCACTTCAGGCTGCAGTCTGAATGTAGCCTTATTTTTACACAGTAATTTTAAAATAAATGTTGTCTAGTTAAGGACACTTTCTTTGTGTGTCATCTGCCTCCTACTTTGACCACTTTGGCCAGCTTCCCCACATCAGCTAAGTGTACTTCATTCTAATGTAAAACCAAACTGTTCTGTAAATTGTTAAATTGTCACATAAAGTGTATCTTAACCATAACCTTAACCAGTTCACACAGACACTGGGGGCGAAGTGTGTCTTGCCCAAGGACACAAAGATCTCATTTATCTGGGGAGCTGGGACAGAACTGCCAACCTGAGGCTCACTCCATCTGACTGCTCGACCGATGATCTTTGTTAGGGTTAATGTTAGGTTCGTTTTCCTGTCCCCATAGAGAGATTTGTCCTCTGCGTTTGACCATCCTTCAACACCAGGAACAAGATTTGAACCACCAACCAGGAACGTTTAAAAGCCCAGGATCTGATGTGCTTTCATGGCGGTGAATAATTAGGATGTATAAAATGCATAAGGTAAGTGAGGAAGAACTTTGAACCACTGCACCACTGTTTCAAATGAACTAAAAAAAAAATAAATAAATAAAAAATCCTAATTTTATTTTATTTTTCACACCAACTCCTGCTGCAGGGGTGTTTTTTTTTTTGTTTTTTTTTCCATGGAGCCACATGAGAAACAGAAAATAATGTGGAGGCCTAAATGCTGAACTCAGTTCTACATTATACTGATTGTGTTCCGTTATAAAAAGCATAAATATCATTATTTTGAAAAGATGATCACAGAATATGTTCTGACTAAGCAATGAAAAAGTGAAGCTGCCCAACAAAAAACAAAGTCATAAAAAACACCTCTAAAATAAAAGCAGTGCAGCTTTAGACCATGAATGAGGTAAAATGATAAAATGTGTTGATTTTGTTTTCCAAATGGTCTTAAAGCGGCTGCTCCGACTTAAACAAAAGGCTGAACGTGGCCCTGGAGTTGGACAAAGCCCAGGTCTGTTTTACTGTATTGTTTTAAAAAGACAAACTATTTAGCATAAAAACATTGTGGTTACCAGATGTTCGATTGTATTTCACTGCTTCAAAGCCAGAATAATTATTTTCACAAAAGACACACGAGACCCAAAGTTTTGCACACGACACTTCTTGGACAGAGCGTCTAATCAAGAGTCGAGTTTTTCTCCTCTAAACTTCTAAGTGTTGGAGCACTTTGTCTAATGAAGCAGAGTCTGAAGAGGTTTGCTCCATTAAAAGGCGGCGAGGATCTGCTCCACCTGCGCCTTACGCCGCTGATGGAGCCTAATGAAAGAGGTGCATGCTGGGAGACGGCTGCTCTCTCTGCTGACAAACGCTCGTCATAATAGTGTTGATTCTTCCGAGTGGGCGCTCCGCTACGCCAGGGGCTCGCCGACTTAGACGCGTGTAATCAGAGAGCGCCGCAGGTGAGCGGCGGCCGGGCCCGGGCGCCGCGTGTTTCCGTGGCGACCGTGTTCGTTAATGTGATGTCATCAGGTGGGGACGCTTCATTAACCTCTAACGCTGACAGAATAATGGGCCATTAGGGACGAGGCGCTTATAGAAGAGCAATTAGGCCAAGGTCCACTGTCCTCTGTCCACTGTCCACTGTCACTGTCCACTGGCCTCTGTCCACAGTCCACTGTCCACTGTCCAATGTCCACTGTCACAGTCCTCTGTCCTCTGTACCACTGTCCACAGTCCACTGTCCTCTGTCCTCTGTACACTGTCCACTGTCCACTGGCCTCTGTCCACTGTCCACTGTCCACTGTCACAGTCACTGTCCACTGTCCACTGTCCACTGTCCTCTGTCCACTGTCCACTGTCCACTGTCCACTGTCCACTGTCCACTGTCACTGTCCACTGTCCACTGTCCACTGGCCTCTGTCCACTGTCACTGTCCACTGTCACAGTCCTCTGTCCACAGCCCAGTGTCCACTATCACAGTCCACTGTCCTCTGTCCACACTGTCCACTGTCCACAGTCCACTGTCCACTGTCCACTGTCCACTGTCCACTGTCCACTGTCCTCTGTCCACTGTCCACTGTCCACTGTCCACTGTCCACTGTCTGTCCACTGTCCACTGTCCACTGTCCACTGTCCACTGTCCACTGTCCACTGTCCACTGTCCACTGTCCACTGTCACTGTCCACTGTCCACTCTGTCCACTGTCCACTGTCCACTGTCCTGTCCACTGTCCACTGTCCACTGTCCACTGTCCACTGTCCACACTGTCCACAGTCCACTGTCCACTGTCCTGTCTGTCCACTGTCCACTGTCCACAGTCCACTGTCCACTGTCCACTGTCCACTGTCCACTGTCCACTGTCCACTGTCCACTGTCACAGTCCACTGTCCACTGTCCACTGTCCTCTGTCCACTGTCCACTGTCCACAGTCCACTGTCCACTGTCCACTGTCCTCTGTCACTGTCCACTGTCCACTGTCCACTGTCACAGTCCACTGTCCACTGGCCTCCGTCCACTGTCCTCTGTCCACTGTCCTCTGTCCACTGTCCACTGTCCACTGTCCACTGTCCACTGTCCACTGTCCTCCACTGTCCACTGTCCACTGTCCACTGTCCACTGTCCACTGTCCACTGTCCTG